GTTTTGATCAAAGAAAAAAAAATACTACATTAATCATACACTGAAAGCAAAACAGCTGGGTAATTATAGGTCTGTGTGCATGAAACGAATATTAGAAGCACTTTAGTGACTGTAAACTGTTCATGTCATGTTTTAAGATTACCATTTTAATCAATAAATAATTTAGTGCCCTACTTCGATATCGGACAACTAGTAAAACATGAAAAATTCCACTTTCAGATGTGGCAGTGCTACCAATAGAAGAGATATTTGTAAATAAGCAGTACTGCGTTATACCAGGAGTCCCAAAAAGACCCGAAACATTTCAGCATCGAATTCTATAAAAAAAGTTCAGATGAAGGTTGTAGGACATCAGGAAACCAAGACGTAAACTTGCATAATATACGTAATAGGGCATTCGATTTGATATTTTCACAATGACCTTGGTTGACCTTGAAACTTAGATCAAATCCAAGGTCACCAGCGTATTGCTTTCTTGTTATTTTCTTACTATTATCCGAAACTTTTTTATGCGAATCCATCAAAATTTTTGAGGAGGTTCATGTCTTTTTGAAACACACTGTATATCAAGGGACTAAAATACATTTTTTAGTACCGAGGGTACTATATCAAAAGGCACCAGTTCTGTACTGCTAAAGTTATTCGCCATAGGAACACATCACTTTAAGAAGCTAAAGCTCCACTTTAGCTTCTATAAGTATCATGCTTACGTGTTTATTTTAGCTCTGTAGAGCTATGAGAAACTAATCGGCCGGCTGGCTTATTATTTCATAATCCAATCTCGCTGGTATGGGGACTAATTGGGGAACGAGGCATCGGACTCCTGCATACATTAATTCCCTAAATAAAAAACATCTGTCCGATAATTAGGATAATACCGCAAACCGCATATACTTCCCCTCGTAGCATAAATTAGGACGCTGATGGCCGCGATTCATTTTCTCGGCTGAAACCTAATCGAGCGATTAAATTTTTCATGGGCGCCTGTACGTTATCATAGCCGCAAACTGTACCTCATCGAACGTTATTTCTTTTGTTTAGAGGATAATGTTTGACGGTATTGCCAAAAACATGAAAAAATGACAAATGTAGCTTTAGAAGTGTTTACAAATAACGTGGACGTTTTAAAGGTGTGAAATATAAAAGTGTACTTCGCAGGGTAGTGTAACAAACTTTGACGATTGGTAGTACCGACAAAGGTCTTAAAAACTTAGCAGTAGAGGTGCTTCTTAAGGGAGGACAGGTATAAAACATTAAATTAGAAATACACTTAAATAATGTGGACGTTTTAAAGGTGTGCGTTATAAAAGTGTAGTAATGCGTCTAATCGAACATTATGTAGCAAACTTTGACAATTAGTAGTACGGAAAAAGACTTGAAACACTTAAAAACATGGTAGAGGTGTTTCCTAAGAGGAAAATAGATATAGGACGTTAAATCAGAAATGCACTTATACATATAATGTGCACGTAATAAAGGTGTGCGTTATAAAAGTGCAGGAATGCTGTCTAATCGAACATTATGTAACAAACTTTAACGATTGTGTACTGTACGTACACTTTAAACACTTACAAATGTGGTCTTAGAAGTGTTTGCTAAAAGGAAAATAGATATAGTACGTTAAATGCACTTATATAATGCACGATTTGAAGGTGAGCGTTATAATAGTATCCCCGCAGTTGGGATACTGCAATAGTGCTATTTTATAGATAGAACATAATACGTACTTTTCTCTGCGATATACTGAAGGTAGTAAATACATACATATATAAGAAAAAAAATAACATATCCCCAGAGTCTTCTAAGGAATATACGACTTCAAATTAGAAGTTCACTTAAATATTATCTGAGTACGTTATAAGTGTATACGTTATAGTCATGTACGTTATAAACGTGTACGTTTTATCTGAGTACGTTATAAGTGTATACGTTATAGTTATATACATTATATACGTGTACGTTACGTGGAAGGTTCTTAAAATCGTGTATATTATATAACAGCTTACATTGCAGTGCTGTCAAAGATACGTATAGAACGAGCTTATAACGTGGCACCAGAAATGCCTGCTAAGGTAGAGATAGATATACTGCGTTAAATTAGAAATACACTTAAATATATCAGTGTGTACGTTACAATCGTACGATATAGTGTACGATTTAAACATGTACGTTATCATGTACGGTACAGTTCTATACTTTTCCATCGTACGTTAAATAATCATACATGTCGTAATAGCGTACGTTACAGTCATGTATCCCATAATAGCGTTCGTATGAACAAGCAAATTAGTGTACGATTCACTTCTGTTTCGTGTACGTCATAAACGTGCACACCGTGCACTTGTCAGGTTATAAGCGCGTGTGAGCAACTTTTACATCCTTCTTTAAGTATATATTAACATTATATTCCTCGAAACGCGGACCTCCAGCTTGCAACTATGAAATTTCTGCAAGGGGGTACTACCGCAGGTCGTAATTAAAACCAACAAACGTCGCCGTAATTAACGTTCGTACTTTATATGTGCGCCTGCCCGAGATGCTAATCCGGTGCGGACATTTCAGTTTTACCTGCCAGTATCGTTAATGTGTGGCAATTACGCCAGTCATAAACCGGCGGACTGTTAGATGAGCGGTTTTTTGTTAATAAAATTCATTTTTGCCAATTAAAAGGCCGCTTAAGGAGGTCGCATAAAATAAATTGTATTCATATGCCCGGGATGGTACGACCGTGTGGTCAAAGCGCTGCTTTGCACTTGTAAGTACGAATGTGGGTTAGAAAGTATAGCATCTTCTGTAAATACTGTTGGAAAGCATTTTTAGCATATTTTTCGGTAGTCTTCTAGGTAGGGTGGAAGACCACTTTGTCTTATTATTATTATTGATTCATTAAAAAACAAGATATTTACAGAACGTGAAAGATATACTAGGACACATGTTAAAGAATCAATCTCAGACGTAACTACCGGTCTGGAGCAAGTTTACTGCGACCACCCAGTACATATATTAAACCAGCTGCTGGGCATCTATAAATCCAACTCTACATTCCATTCTTTATGAGCCTGTGTAAAATTAAATCATTTAGCGGTGCCGCAGAGCCGCCGTTGCATATTTTGCAACATAGCTGCACAGTTTGTAACTTTGCAATATAAAGTCAGTGGCGTAGCAAAAACGACAACGATTCATTTTCATGGAATTTCTTTAAACTTAAATCACAACTCGACTTAATTAATTAATCTTCCTTCCTATCCTTGTAGCCGACTCGTACGTGCCCCTTTGCATGCGTACGCCGCTGGAACGGCATCAGACACCACCTGGACCTCTTCTCAGGATCTGTTCGCTGGTACGGAGGGGGGTTGTATATACTAATAACGCAAAGTCCTATTGGCAATTAGCAGATTACCGCATCAAGTGCTCGCCGCATAACTGGCGACCTACTGCATTTCGATAATCGTAAATTAGTAATATAATGTTATCCTAGCAGGCCGAAGAAGGTCGTTAGAGGAATTACCGGCGGCCATAATGAAAGCGTCTTCAAATAAATGACTAGCGTCAACCGTAATCGATAAAAATCGTAATGTCTCGTTGGGAAATTAAAATTGCGATACCAAATGTACGTTATATATAATCGATTGTACGTTATACGCATATTTTACTGTATTAGGAATATATTTTCATTTTTCGCATCGCACTATGTAGGCTTCATTACTTATGACTAATTGTACAGTGCCATCGTTATCCGTTCCCACAATTCCTCCAGAAATTTTTCTTAAATAAAATCAAATAGTTGCAAGCAATAGTTTTTTGAATAACGTTTTGAATAGTTGGTTTATTGTGATCATTAATATTTGTACGTTATATCGGAAGGAACGTATAATGTGTACGTTATATCCAGTTGTACGTTAAACCATGTACGTTATATGCCAATTTTACTGTGAAGAATATATTTTAATTTTTGCGACACACTATGTAGATTTAATTACTTAAGGGTACAGTACCATTAGGTATTGTCAATTCCCAAAATTTATCCAGAAATTATTATATACAATCGTATAATAATAAACAACAGTTTTTTGAATACTGGGTACAATAATATTAGTTTATAGTTGGGGTTGATTGCGATCATATTATAATTGTACGTTATACCAGACGTAACGTACCATGTGTACGTTATATCTGATTGTACATTAAAGCTTGTGCGTTATACGCAGATTTTATTATGTTAAGAATGTATTTTCATTTTTGGCGTCTCACTGTGTAGACTTCAGTAGTTTAGAGTAATAGTTTAGTGCTATTAGGGATTATCAATTGCCAAAATTCATCTACAAATTATTTTTATATAAAATTGTAAGCAATAGCATTTTGAATAATGAGTACAATAATGCCAGGTTATAGTTGGCTTATTGAGATCCTTAATATTTGTACGTTATATCTGGTTGTACGTTAAAGCTTATGTGTTATACGCAAATATTAGTGTTAAGAATATATTTTAATTTTTCGCGCCACATTGTAGGTTTATAAATAGTACAGTACTATCAGGTATTATCAGCTTCCAAATTCATTCACAAATTCTTATATGAAATCAAATAGTTGTAAACAACAGTTTTTTGAATAATACTAATACATAATAATATTAGGTTATAGCTGGTTTATTGTGGTCATTAATATTTGTACGTTATACCAGGCGTAAGGTGTACGTTATATCCAGTTGTACGTTAAAACATGTGCGTTATACGCAAATTTTATTGCGTTAAGAATATATTTCCATTTTTGCACCACACTGTAGATTTAAATCTAAGAAATATAGTACAGTGCACTAAATCCACTTACACCAAATAACAGTTTTTCGAATAATGAGTACAATAATACATACTAGTTCATATTTGGCTTATCATCATTAAATTTGGTACGTTATAACAGACGCAACGTATACGTTATATTTAGTTGTACGTTATACTATAGTTTTGTCGATTGTTATACTCATCTAATCTCCTTTGTTGCAGTGGGTCGAGGAGTCATTCACGAACTTCCAAAAAGGCATCAACTGGAGGTCGTACGTCGTGTGCGACGTGGCCTATAACAACGTGAACAACTGGTTGTGGACGCCGTTCATCGACAGGAATGTGTCTAATAGGATATACATAGAAATTAAGTTCACCATAAGAGATTGCAGTCTGTTTCCAGGTGAGCGCAACAGTTGTTTAATATACCATTCGTTAAAGACGTACAAACTTTTTCTTAGGAAAGAGTACTTATTTCTTGTAAACAGCGTTATTGAAAAATTCATTCTTACGTGACAAAGTGCTATTAGATTTTAAACTACCGAACCACTTTAACTTCTTGGAATATAATGAATAGTTTTTAAAACATTTTAAACGTAATAGCAAGTAAAAAGAGCATTAGGCCAAATTACATGATTTATAAACGACCCTTAATTCGTTTTTAATAGGACTAGTCACTAATGTATGTAGTCAAGTTTTCAAGAAAAAAAACTTGTGTAAACTATTGTAATAGGTAAGAATTAAATTACTTTTATATTTAATATAATTAATGAACTCAAGAATGATGTATCAGTGAGTTCATTTTCGATCGGATTATTACTTTTTTATTTTTTCCAGTTCATCATTTTAAAAACAGGTCAATTAGTATAAATAGAAATTGTTACTTTTCTGCAACATTTTCAATTTTTTTGAGCCATGTTTGACAGACCTGTAACATTACCGACATTTTTTTTAATAGGACGCTTTATATTTTATAGTATAAAATTGTGTATGTTTTTTTTGCATCCAATGCGGATTTTCTGTGCCCCAAAACCTAGTATTTTGCCTGTTCATGGTTCGGTTTGAGCAAAAAGTAGCTTCGCCGGTGAAAATTATGTGATTTTTTAAGTTTGAGTTGTCTTTCAAATAAATTTCTAACTTCATGTTGCAAAATAGCAATTGATGAAAAAAAGGCAAAATAATCAAGGTTTTTGGATAATTTTTAAAAAATATTTTAATTGCTCTGAAGGCATTCTAATTTTGTTAAAAAAATCTTTAGATTGCAATAAAACAACACACCAAATTTCATTAAAATCGGTTCTATAGTTTTCGCAAAATAATTTTTTGAAAAAAATTTTGAAAAGAAATTTTCGAATTTTGAAAATGTTGCACAGACTCAAATAAAGCATCTAGATACTTGAAATTTTTTCACATAAAAAAGACCGCTTAACCTTTCAAATGGCTTTTGAAAAATTGAAATCGGTTGATTAGAACTGTCACAGTAAATTTTTTAATTTAAGTCTTTTTATTATTTTTAAACAATTAGATTACATTTATCAATTTGCAATTTAGTTTTTTTCAAAAATTATAATTTAAAGTACTATTTTATCTATATTTAACAAAAAAATTGATTTCTAATTAAACAAAAATTATTTAAGTAATTGTAATAATTATAACTAAATGTATTCATATTCAGAGTGTTGAAATATATAGGTAAACAAATTATTTCATTGCAAAAATGTCATAAATAAATAAATAATAAACTTTGTTTATAACAAAATATGTGCAAATTAGACAGTTGGCATTACGATATTCGAATTCTAATTCGAAGAAAAAGATCGAAATTGGTTCATTAGAAGCCGATATAAAGCAATTTTTTTCGTACCTCCGCATTTTGAACCTCCGAATTCAGTCTCGGAGCGAAAGCCCCCTCCCCCACTTTTCGTGTTTTGAGTCATTTCGCGCGTGCGAGCGACAGCTTTTCCGATGATTTATCTATGTTGCCGATAACTTATGGATATGAAAATTTTTTCCAGCTTAGAACTCGGAAAAACGAAGCCACTGAATCAAAGACTGTTGCTAAATTGTTTATAAATTAACGGTAAATACCGATAAACTTTAACCGCTTATATCTCGAGAATATCTTGAAAATTTTTCAAGTATCTAGATGTTTTATTTGAGGCTGTGCAACATTTTGAATATTCGAACATTTTTCTTCAAAGTTTTTTTCAAAAAATTATTTTGCGAAAACTATCTAACCGATTTTAATGAATTTTGGTGTGATGTTTTATTATACTTTTAAAGTTTTTTTACCAAAATTAGAATGCACTTGGAGCAATTAAAATATTTTTAAAAAATTATCCAAAAAACTTGATTATTTTGCCTTTTTTTCGTCAATTATTGCTATTTTGCAACATCGGTAATAAATTTAAACATTTTCAACTTACAGTATATTGTGCAAAATTCATTTCTAAAACTTTTTTCCTCTTCAATATTCTTTCAAAATGCATAGGTTTCAAGATATAGCTAAAAAATTCAGATAAAATAGGTATATTTTTAAATTTTTAAAACATTTTTGTAATTTTGAAAATGTTCCGGACCTCGCCCAGATCTAGGGATCTACACTTTTATTATGTGAGTTTTATTGAAGGTATTTCAGCAAAAATTAGCTTGCCCCCTCTTACATCCAAAAAGTGGGATATTTCGACAGATTCGCCCTGGTCTATTATACCTAAGGTAGTCTGGTGAATTTTATGTGTTTGTCGCTGTGTTTTTTTTGGCGAAAAAAAGCTTTAAGGTAAGTAGAAAAAGATTAATAAAGAGTAGGTACATTTTTAAAAGTACAGAAGAACTATGGTTGTTGAAATAGTCGTCAGTACGACTTAAAAAACAATTATTTAACATTTTTTTGATAACTATGACAAAAAAGTAGGTATAACTTATATCACGGAATTCGTCTATAGAAGGGCTATCTATTTATACTGTAAAATATAGAGCGTCCTATTAAAAAAATGTCGACAATGTTATAGGTCTGTCAAACATAGCTCAGAAAAAAGAAAATATTGCAGAAAAGTGACAATTTCTATTTACTAATTGACCTGCTCCAGCGATTTTTTTTAAATTCCAACTGGAAAAAAGATATGAATTTTATTTCATTATTTTGGGACACATTGTATATACTTTGAATTTGAGTTATAGAAAACCATTATTTTATTATTTTTTTATTGTGTTTGATGAATTTTTATCAAATATTATTTACCTTTTGTTAATTTATGTTTAAAATCGACCAATTCGAGATCATTTAAAACAGTAAAATATTTGTATGTTTTTTTAAGTTATTTGTGTTTTATTTTTAAACTATACGCATACTGCAATGTGACACATGTCGTTTTTTTTTTGGGGTCACGGCACTGTAACAGAGGAAATCAAAATAACCGATACAATTCCCTCTCTGACAATGGGACGGGTCCGACATGCTCATCTCAAGACTCGTAATGATATTCCGCCCTTACATACAAAAGCACGGTGTATTTTTTTATGGGCGTGACGAAAATGAATCATTTCGAAAAAGCACTTGAAATTCTCAGTCCATTGTCTCGCGTTTCGGAACCGGGCATTACACCGAAACGGACACAAGATACTCGACTTTCTTTCCTCATTGAAATTTAAAATTATATAAGCGAGGTCTGTCCGACAATAGTTCGCTGTTTTGGAAGAGATAAGAGTAATTTTTTATGGTGGATAGGTGTTTCTGTCGGTCGTGTCGTGCTAATAAGGATACAATTAAAAATGTTACGCGGCCTAATAGAAACCTTAGGTAGCGCGTAAAAGAATCAGAAACGGAAAAAATCTGTGTCTTTTGTGTCGTTATCAGATTTTATTAACAAATTAATCACGACCAGTATATTTGAAATACTGTCACTCATCCAAGGGCGAACATAATGCTGCCATTCTTTTTTTGTCGCCTTGTGCTTGATTTCAAATATACAGGGTGAGTCATTAATAATGGTACACAGCTTAATGGCAGATTGCTAACGCCAAAATATGGCGATTGAGCCATGCCTTATTCAATTGTTCCTCCTTTTCGGTCCACAGGATGTTCAAGTTGAAAAAATATTTTCGATTTTTATCTATATTTTTTGTATGTATGTACCGATTGTTTTGAAAATTTGTAGTTTTACGTTTTTTGAGGTGGCAAAAACGTAATATTTTCAAAAATATGCATTCTAAACCGCTTAAACTTGTATAATAAAGGGTAGCCCATCGAAAACGTACCGCAAGGCATTACAGGGTAGTAAAGAATTTTTCGGCAAAATCCAAAACCGGTTCAATTTTTTTTTTGGGGGGGACAACTTTTGGCTCAAAAAGCATACCAAAATCTTCAACCCCCTAAGTGGGGGTGCTATCCCCTAAATTTTTTCAAATGGGGATGGGGATGAAGTGGGGGGTCATTAGAAAGGGCTTTTAATTCTCTATACATCGATTCTTACTTTTTGAAAATCGATTCATTATTTTAGAAAATATGCAGCTTTGAAAATACGAACAATATTTTTGACGAGAAATGCGAAAATCGATTTAATTTTACTTCAAAACTTACGGTATTAGTCAAGTAAATGCTGAAAATGTTGTCCGCCAACTTGCATACAATGATACAGGTTGTCTTCAAACCGTTGTCGAACATTCTGGAGCACTTGCGGTGTTACTTCGCGACATACATTAATGATTCGTCCTCGCAGATCTTCCAAGGTATCAGGTGGAGTGCTGTAAACTTTGCTTTTAATGTGCCCCCAGAGAAAGAAATCTAAAGGATTTAAGTCGGGTGACCGAGGGGGCCACTCAATTGCACCTCTTCGTCCTATCCAGCGTCCTGGAAACGTCTCATTTAGGTAATTGCGCACATTGAGCGAGTAATGTGGAGGAGCTCCGTCTTGCTGGAAAATCAGTTCGTGTTCATTGTAAGCAGGGTCGTCCTCTATGATATTTGTTAGAGCTGGGTCGATGACATTTTGTAGTAAATCCAAGTACATATCGCCTGTCAAATTTCCAGGAAGGAAAAAAGGACCTACAATGGAATTTCCAAAAATACCTGCCCATACATTCAACTTCTGGGGGTGTTGGGAGTGTGTCTCATGGAAAATCCTTGGATTGGTATCAGCCCAGTAACGACAATTATGGCGATTCACTAAACCATTCAAGAAGAACGTACACTCGTCCGAAAAACACACATTAAAGAGGAAATTATCGTTTATCGCTCGTTCAGTCATTATTTCGCAAAATTGCAAACGACGATCAAAATCGTCTTCATTTAGCTCTTGCACTAGCCGAATCTTATAAGGATGGAATTTGTATTTTTTTAATATTCGTTGGACACTTGTACGACTCACTCCTGTCGCAGTAGCCAATTGCATTGTACTCAGCGTACTA